TAGTGACTAAACACGACCCCTTTTAATACATGTTAACCAGGAGTCACTCTCATTTATAATCGAGGCATCATCTGATAAAATCAACATGCATCTACACTAAAGACACTATGCGGTTGTTTTGGCTATATTATTTTTTTGTCTCATGCAGCGCACTGCTGCGTCTGAGTAACAAACTAAAAGAAACAACAAACAAAAAAGTGCATGTGATATTAACAGACGAACTACGCTAATATTTATAATTCCAAACAATTAGTAAGCGACAGGTGCTAGGAAAAGCTGTTTTTTACTAATTTATTGACTAGTTGTACTCATTTATTGTGGCCATTTATTGGCTGCGGTGCGGCCAACTGAATGTGCTGCTTCTCTGCCGCTCACTGCACAGAACAGACGCCGAGAGAGGTGACACTTCTCTGGGAAAGTCAGACCTCACGTTCGCGGGACAGCACTGGCGAAATCTTCCAACTGAACCATAGCTAAGGTTTATCCAGAAAAGTCGCTAGGTTTGTCAGTATGAATATTCTATGGAAAAAAGCCGCTAAAAGGGTCTGAAAGTTGCTAAATCTAGTGCTAAAGTCGTGCTCGTGTGTGTGTGTGTGAGACGCGGGAGCTGATGGCAGGGGGCGATGGATATTTGTGGCGGTCAATGTGGATATTGTGGATGAGTTCTTCTGTGTCATCATCACGTTCTATTAGTTCTACAGCTTCAGTTTCGGAACTTTCACGCTTAGTAACACATACAGCTGTTCCCTCACCACAGTGCAACAGTGAAAAGGGACCCCTTTCAAACAGTGTCGCATTCCGAACGTTGTTTAAGCGACATACCGTGCGGTATTTTAAAAATTCATATCATAACAAAAATAAACACCGGTATTCGGTATGAACCGGTATACCGCCCAGCACTAATTTCAAGGTTAGAATTATGGCCAGTGAGAGAAGAAAATGCTAATTTACTACATGCAAACAGCAACAGCAAAGCTTATTTTGTAAAGTTTTTGAACCAAAATGTATTTTTTTGTAATGCCTTTGCAGACTGTTAGTAAATGATACATTTTGAATACTTTTGTTGTCATTAAAACCATAACTTTTGTAATTTGACTGTTTTTACAATTGCATTAAATTTTGGTAAGTGCATTAAAGCTCATATATGTAATAAAAAAACTGATTATTTTGTAAAAAAAACAACAACTATGTGATGGAAAGTTTTTATTGATATTTTTGTACTTGGCATCATGACATTAGGTAGTCTTCGGCCTTTTTTGCAAATTTTTTAAGATGCAGGGCTGCCTATTAGTAATCGTTTGACCTTTTTGCGATTTCCTTCATCCAGATGAGTTCAAAGGGCACACGCTTTTGCAGGCGTCCCGTGAGGCGGACATGGCAAAAGTCAAGAAAACCGCTCAAGAGATCATCAGCTTCAAACACCCTCACTCGCACGACTCTGCTCTGGTGAGCACTTTACATGGTCTCCTCTGAATCCTGAGGGTTTTAATGGTGTGTTTATTAAAATCTCTTTATGATGTTCGCAGCACTGCGCCGTAGCCTCTCCTCATCCCAAACGCAAACAGGTCACAGAGCTGCTGCTGCGGAAAGGCGCCAACATTCATGAGAAGAACAAAGAGTGAGTGTTCAACTTTAGATATGAAAAAAACAAAGCTGTGTACAATTTATTTGAAACAATTTTCACTCCGAAATTGCTAGTAAATTTCACAAATAATTACAAATAAATGGCAAGTAAGACATTCTCACATATTCTTTCTCTTTCTAGTTTTATGACTCCGTTCCATGTAGCGTCTGAACGAGGTCATAATGATGTGCTTGAAGTCCTTCAGAAACACGGAGCAAAGGTACCAGCATCCTCACACTGCATTTCATTATGAGCTCTGTTTTAGGAGATAGTGAGCTTATGTGCTGTGTGTCGTCTACTTAGGCAACTACTTTCATCTTCGACTATATTTAAAGCCTGTTATATTATCTCTTGGACCCTACATTGAATATTGTGCCAGACTCCAGGACTTCTTTTTTAATAAATCAATTTGTAAATGATAAAACAATGATAAATTCAAATTGTTATATATTGTGCTATACTATAGTATACTATATTACTATGTTAAATACTAGATTATATACTAGGGCTGCATGATTTGGGGAAAAAATGTAATGAACATTTTTTTTTTTCTGATAAAACTTGCGATTGTGATTTTTATGTGTGTCAAAAAATTCCAGGTTTGCTGTGCTTGTTTGTAGGGCCGTACAGTTTGGCCAAAATCTTATGATTACATATCAATATGGCTATAAAATAATAATAATCATGATGATGATTATTATTATTATTATATTTTTTAAAAATACTAAAATTTTGATTCTACAGTAAAATATAACAATTATAATTTTCCTATTGTTTTTTTTAATAGTAATTTTTAAATTTTTATTAGTTGTGCAGTCCTATTATATACTGTGATTTTTAGTGTCTACTTCAGTTTCTTGGGATGCTGACAAATAGGTTGTTTCTCTTCTTGCTTAAAGGAACACTCCACTATTTTTGAAAATAGGCTCATTTTCCAACTCCCCTAGAGTTAAACAGTTGAGTTTTACCGTTTTCGAATCCATTCAGCCGATCTCCGGGTCTGGCGGTAGCACTTTTAGCTGTAGCTTAGCATAGATCATTGAATCTGATTAGACCATTAGCATCTCGCTCAAAACTGACCAAAGAGTTTCTGTATTTTTCTTATTTAAAGCTTGACTCTTCTGCAGTTACATTTTGTACTAAGACTGACGGAAAATGAAAAGCTGCGATTTTCTAGGCCGATATGGCTATGAACAATACTCTCATTCCGGTGTAATAATCAGTTCAAGTTCAAGTTCAAGTTGAGCTTTCAAAGCACTTCATCATGATTGGAGTCAGTGCTATGGGACGGTAGTCGTTTAGACAGGACACAGGTGATTTCTTTGGAAATAAAGAAATTCAGGGTTTGAAAATCAAGGAACTTTGCTGCCGTACCATGGGTATGGGGATATTTTCAGGCGCTGCGTAATATCATTGCACCTGCTGCACCCATGGTACGGCAGCAAAGTTCCTTGATTATTACATCGGAATGAGAGTATAGTTCCTAGCCATATCAGCCTAGAAAATCGCAGCTTTTCATTTTCCGTCGGTGTAACTACAGAAGTGTCAAGTTTTAAATAGGAAAAATATAGAAACTCTCTGGTCAGTTTTGAGCGAGATGCTAACGGTCAAATCAGATTCAATGATCTATGCTAAGCTACAGCTAAAAGTGCTACCGCCAGATCCGGAGATCGGCTGAATGGATTCGAAAACGGTAAAACTCAACTGTTTAACTCTAGGGGAGTTGGAAAATGAGCCTATTTTCAAAAATAGTGGAGTGTTCCTTTAATGTTTGTATGCTAAAATGAGTTTCATCAATGTTTGTTTTTTTAGTAAACATGAAGTTTAAACCGAATATATTTTTATAAAATACAGTAAAAACTGTAATACTGTGAAATATTTTTGCAAATTAAAATGAACTAAAATGGTTTATTCTATTTGAATATATTTTAAAATATAATTTATTCCTGTGATGCAAAGCTGAATTTTCAGCATCATTACTCCAGTCTTCAGTGTCACATCACTGTAGGGTTCAGTAGGGTTGTCGCGGTGAGGGAATTTCCCTTGCGGTAATTTTGAGTGGCTCAATAGAATTATTATTAGAAATGCGGAATTATCGCCATACATATATACATATATATATATATATATATATATATACATATACATATATATATATATAT